GTGGAATTTAAAAATTTTTTTACATTTCAATATGCCTTTTTGCTTCAAGAGTCTAAAATCACCTAGATAGCAAGAAGTTCGCTGTACTCTTCATGAGATTACCTAAAATTCAGACATAAAAATTTAGCATCATTTAGTACTTAGTCATGCAGAAATGACATTACATCTCTGTAGTTGCTAAAAACTGGAATAAAATGTTTCTTGTCTAAAGGAATTAGGTTCTTAGTTTTCTCCATATGCCTTCATTTTTAGATTTTTTTATTTTTTGAGTTGAAGTCTCACTCTATCACCCAGACTGGAGTGCAGTGGCATGCTCCTGGCCACCACAGCCTTGACCTGCTGGGTGCTGGCGATCCCTCCGCCTCAGCCTTCCAAGTAGCCGGAACTACAGGCATGTGCTATCACACCTGGCTAGTTTTTTTATTTATCGTAGAGACAAGGTCTCACCAAATTGCCTGGTGGGTCTCGAACCTTTAGATATGTTATGTTGAAACTCTCTGCTCTTCTTTTGCTACCACTTTCCAGAAGAGCCAGTTTCCTCTTGATAATGCTAAAATATACACATGATGATCTAAGGAAGTTATCTGTAGAACAATATAGTAGCAGCTCCAGTGAGTAGGTACTTGGCATTGTAATTGAAAAAAAGGGGCTTGATAAATCCTTTCCTTTGGAACATTGCCTCCAAGAGTTTTCACTCATTCTGGATTAAAATTGGAATTGACACATTCTGGGATGGAAAGATGTTCTGAAATCTCCTGGAAAAAACTGAGACTATATGAAACTGATTTAACCAAGATTTGAGGATCACCTAGACACAATGTTGTATTTAATAAAATCAGAGACTGTCTGACTAAGAAGCATAACAATAAACATCCAGCACAAAATCTAGGTCTTGTTTATGGCACAAGGAGAAACGGAGAATTTGGAGCTGCTTCCTCTTAGCAGCTGGATGAATCACTGGCAGCTGCTATTAGAAAGATAAAGAAACCCACATCTGCTAAGAGTCTAAATGCTGTATGAATCCCTTGTGATAGTAAATTCTTGAAGAGGCCCTACTTCCAAATCAGGGGGGGAAATTGAGGCTATTTGAAGGCTGTTTTCCATAGTTATCTCCATATGTTATCACAGGAACCAGCTCTGGCTGTCCACACCATTATTCAATATGCAGTTGACCCTTGAACAACACAGGTTTGAATTGTGCAGGTCCATTTATATGTGGACTTCTTCCCCCAACAAAATGCAGATTGAAAATACATATTCACGAGACGCGAAACCCATGTATATGGAGGACCAACTTTTCATATACATGAGTTCTGCAGGGCCAGCTGCAGGCCATGAGTATGCATGAATTTTAGTATAAGCTGGGGTGCTGGAACCAATCCTTCGTATATATAGAGGGATTACTGCAATAGGTGGTATACAATATATATTTGCTGACTAAATAAGCAACTGGAAAAAACAGGATCTGATAAAATAGTTCTAACTTCACTTAAACACTCACAGCGTCCTGTTTTGGTTATGTAGAGACTAATGGGATAGTTTTTCTGAGCTAGTTCACTTAAAATTGAGATCACATTGGATTTTGCCTATTAGTACATGTATTCCGTAAGGAAATGGTGCTCTCCTCAGTACACTAAATACTTCTTGCATAATGCTGTAATACAGATGGATGATCTCTAGAGCGTCATGTCAAAGAAGCAGTGATTAAAGTCAAAATAGTAGAAACTGAACGTTAGCACATCAGTAAATCTGGGCTCTCTCTCCAGCTTTGTGGAATCATTCTGCAAGTTCATTATTTATAAAATGGACACAATACCACCTATCTTACCTATTTCTTAGGGTACTTGAAATGATATGATACTGGGTAGAAAGAGTTTTTTTAAATGTTCAGTAGTTATATATAAAATAGCAGTATTAGAGCAGGGTGGGGGATCTTATACTCAAAGCATGGAGTACCAGTGTCAGGCACATAGAAGGACTACCAGAAATATGTGTTGAATGAATGAAGTAATTTAGGTCTTTCTCTTCTTTAAGTTAGGATCACTATAGAAACTGTCTTAAAGGCATTCAATACTTATATGCAAAAACACAAATATGAAGGTGGAAATAAGAACAGCCCTTGAAAACAGATGTGAAAGAAAGTTTTGATGTATGGTCAAGTGTGATAGCTCACACCTGTAATTCCAGCACTTTGGGAGGCTGAGGTAAGAGGATTACTTGAACCCAGAAGTTCAAGACCAGCCTGGGAAACATAGTGAGAATTCATTTCTACAAAAAAAAATAACAATTAGTCAGGCGTGATGGCATGCACCTGTAGTCCCAGCGACTCAGGAGGCTGAAGTGGAAGGATTCCTGAACCTAGAAGGTTGAGGCTGCGGTGAGCCATAATCGTGTCACTGCACACCAGTCTGGATGACAAAGTGAGATACCAACTGAAAAAAAAAGTTTTGATGTAGAGATTCTAAATCTGAAATTTTTGGAGCAATATAATCTATTTTAATACTCTGTATATAAGAATCTAGTGTCATTTCTAAACAGACACTCCCAATGGGGGTGTTTTCACCCTTTGCTTTACCAAGATAAAGTCTCAATAAAGACATTTTCAGTGTCTTTCTTAATATTTTCCTTGTAATATAATTATGAAATGCCAAACCAAATATAAAAATGATTCAAATCATTTTTAAAAGTGTTCAAATATAAAAATGATTTGCGTGCTAACTTCAGCAGCACATATACTAAAATTGGAACGATACAGAGAAGGTTAATTAGCAGGGCTCCTGCGCAAGGATGACATGCAAACTTGTGAAGCGTTCCATATTTTCAAAGGGAACACTTCTACACTGTTGGTGGGAGCATAAACCGGTACAGCCTCTGTGGAAAACAGTATGGTGATTCCTAAAAGATCTAAAAATCGACTTTCCATACGACCCTGCAATCCCCCTACTGGGAATGTACCCAGAAGAAGTCAAATCACTCTATAAAAAAGATACCTGCACATGTATGTTTATCACAGCATTGTTCACAGTAGCAAGGACATGGAACCAACCATGCTGCCCATCAAAAGAGGACTGAATAAAAAAGTGTGGTACATATACACGATGGAATATTATGCAGCCATAAAGAAAAACAAAACCACAAACTTCACAGCAACCTAGATGCTATGATCTTTCACAGAAACAAAGAACTGAGTATCACATGTTCTCACTCATAAGCAGACCTTGAACAATTATCATAATGCTCTAAGAAAAGGATTGGCAGTGGCGGGAAACTGCTGGGAGTGGGGCAGGGAAGCAAGATCGGCAGTAGTGGGAATCTGCCTGGGGAAGGGAGGGCACACCTCATCAACAAGGGTATCTGCATAATGAACATTCATATACCTAACCCTGAATTGTACCCCACATCTTTTTTTTTTTTTTTTTTTTAGTTGGAGTCTCACTCTGTCACCCAGACTGGAGTGCAGTGGCATGCTCCCAGCCCCGCCCCCCCCCCCACAGACACACACACACATAAACCAAAAACATACTGCATTATTCACAATAACCAAAAGGTGGAAGCAACCCTAGTACCAATCAATGGAGGGATGGATAAACAGAATGTGATATACATGCAATAGAATCCTATTTGCTCAAAAAGGAAGAAAATTCTCACAAGTGCTATGATACAGATGAACCTTGAGGGCATTATGCTAAATGAAATAAGCCAATCACAAAAAGACAAATATTATATGATTCCACTTATATGAGGTACCTAGAGTAGAGACTTCATAGAGACGAAAAGTAGAGTGGTGGTTTCTAGGGGATGACAGGAGGAGGGAATGAATGGAGAGTTAATGTTTAATGGATATAGAGTTTCAATTTGAGAAGATGGAAAAGTTCTGAAGATAAAGAGTGGTGATGGTTGTGGAACAATATGATCACAATTTTATGTAGTGTATATTTTACTACAATTAACAAACAGTATATTTCTCCCCAAGATCTATTGCCCCTCTAATATTCTTACCAGTTGCCTGTGCCAGAAACCTGAAAATTATCACTGGTCTTCTCACTCACCTTATATAGCACCAAATCCTGTGGTTCTATCTCTGAAAGTGTGCTTAAGAAACTGCCTTAGTTTGGCTCTTATCTCTCACTCAATTACTGCAAGCCTTCTCCATTCCCTACCTCTAGTCTAGACCATCTTCCACACTGCCATTTGAATAATCTTTCCAGAACTCCCAGTTATCATCACACCACTCTCCTATCTAAAAGCCTTCAAGTACTATCCACAAAATAAAATCCATCAACTTTTTGATGGCAAAAAAAAAGGTCTTTCAGGAGCTCTTTCATTCCTTTACAGGCTCATCTCCTCAACCTCCTTCACAAACTCTAATCATTCAGATCTTCTGTTTGTTGAATGTTCTGGGTTCATTCATGTTTCAGCATACGCTCTGCCTGGAATGCCATTCTCTCCTTCATCCTTCCAGCTTAGACCCAATAGTCAGTTTTAGGAGAACCTCCTCTAATCTACTTTTCTCTCCCTTCTCCAAAAAGAGCATCTCCATCCCACCTCCAGTTCAGGAGTTTCTTTCTTTGTATTCACATTCCTTCTTATATTTACTACATATTTTAATATTTGCCAAGAGCAGGGGCTCTGCAGCTAGACTGGGGATAAATCCATGCCCAGGGTTGCTACATAACCTTGCCAAGTTACTCTCTGATCCTTGGTTTCATTAGTTACAAAATGGGGGTTATAGTATCTACTACCCAGTGCTGTTACAAAGATTATTTGGGTTACACATGTAAAGTGCTCAGAGCTACACTTGGTTCTTAATAGGTATCATTAAGGATGGTGGTGGTGGTAGTAATAATATCTCTGACATAAGATAGACAACTCTCCAAATGTAAGGTATTCCAAAAGCCTTAAATAGCATGCATTCAAATAGTATTTATAGGAAAAATGAAGTTTGAAAGAAAGAAAGAAAGGCAAAAAAAAAAAAGGATTTGGAATTTGGGAAGACTTACCCCCATTTTTGCCCACAGTTCGGAAGCATCTCCAGAAAGCCCGTAAAAATGAAACTCGATTGTGGGGGGTGGCTTGAATGAAGCTGAATTCTCGAAAGAGAATGTGAGTTCCCTGGCATACGCTGTTAAAACTGTAAAGAGAAAAATCAAGAAATCATCATTAGGTAGAGTCCAGAATCAGAATCAGAATCTGGAATCAGAATGAAAGACTGATACCAGAGAGAACTACTGCCCAAAAGGGGGGAATTTATTTTTTCCTTAAAAAAAAAAAAGGAGAGTCTCTTCATATAACTATAGCTCTCTGAAGATGTGGAGACCAATTCCTTTGCGTGCCTCCCACCTTCCACATGTACACACTGGGGAAGCTCTCATCCCTCAGGAGAGTATCTCACATAGAGAACAATGTTGCCGTCTTTAACTGGATGACATTGGTACTCATATCTTTCTGGAGAATACTTCTCCCTTTACTCCATTTGAAATTATGTTTCCTTAAAGATATCCTTTCTGTACTTTCCCTGACCTATACCAGCTGTCATAAAGATGATATGGCTTATGGGGACATAACTGGATTGTCTGTTCCAGTTTGGGAGTGGTGTTGTATATCTCCCTGACAATAACCCCAGAGACAAATTCCATGTGCCAAAGGATATAAAGCTTCCAAACAGAACACTGAAGGCAAATAAGAAGAACAAGGGTAGAGTGGCCCCCAAACGAGAATATGAAGCAAAGCCCCAGGGCCCGAGTGAGTCACTGCTTCAGCTGGGCCAGAGAAGGGAAAACATACACTCCATTGCCTTTGAGTTCTCCTGCCAATGAAATAAAGGCTGTGGAGCCTAGTGTAATCTAAAAATGGAAATTCCACTGGAGAATAAATAGGCAATTATCCAGTAATCATTCCTACCAGAGCAGACTTCAGGTTCCAGAAGAACTCCTAAATTCCCTGACAAGTAAATCATGAGTGGAAAACATGTTAATCTTTGTGGAGAAACAGACATTAAATTGAAGATGGCAAGCAACAGAGAGAACTATGGTAATTCCAAATGCCAATTTTCATCTGGTGACCATTTAAAGGGGAAAAACATTCCGAATCTCTGAACTTTGCAGGAAAAACATTCAGGAGCCATGTATTCCATTTCCTGTCTCCCAGACCAACTTCAGGGAACATGTTTAACCTGTCTTTAATATAGAGTATGTTATCATTTAGGATAAAATTAGTTTCTTCCTGTTAATAGTAACAGTACTATGTTAAAAGTGAATTATATACTCATCTTTCCTCATGGAAAACTAGCAAAGAAATCTACTTCTAAGACACTATGAGGAAATATGAGGACATCATTGGCAAAAAATTAGAAGAGAGGTTTTTACAAAGCAATGAAAGTGTTAACCTAACAATGCACTGCTGTTGTCTTGAGCAAAAAAAAAAAATGAAAAATACAGAAAATGATCTGTTACAGGTACATGCAGTAGGCTACATTTCCAGCAAATGAAGTTGAAATGATAACGATGCAGCCTAAATTTATGAAGCTATCAGTAAAGAATTAGCCCAAAGTGTGCTTCATACTTTAAGGGGAAAGGGTTGGTGTCTAGGTCATGGTCTTGTGAAATTATACCTTTGGTTCAGCTTTTAGGACCATCTCAAATGTCACATTTTGTGTCAAGTCTTTTCCTGATTCAGTCTTCCATGCCCAATTTCCATCATATCCCACTTGTAACTCTCTAATGGTGCTCACAGCTTGCTGCCCTGTTTTGAAGTTCCTGGACTTCTTTCTCCTACTGGACTGCAAGTTTGATGGAAGAAGAATCTAGGGTTGTACTCATTTTTGTCTCTGCTACATTACCTAACACACAGGCAACTCCATAAATGTTTGTGGTAGATGATTTAGAAAGATAAGAAAGAGTAAGTAAGTAATACCAGGTAGAACATATCTTTGCAGGTAGCCACACTGGAAAAACTAAGAGTCTATATTTTATATGTTTTTTAAAAGTCCAGGTTTTTGGTCTGATATTTGTATTGTAACATTATAATACCAGCTTTGTTTTTATTAGTGTTTTCCTGTTTTTAAATAAAAAAGTTGACGATTTTATTTTTACATTTCACAGTACAAATGACAACTGTACTTTTTCCTCTCCAAAACTATTCTCTGATAGGAAGGGGAGCAAGTCTTTCTTACATGCTATTAAGAAAACACTCAGTCACCATGATCTACTGGTGAAGTATAACAAGCACTATAAAATTGATGAGTCCTCCCCCATCCTTATTTGTCTGATCGAGTCATTCCAGGCCGAGTGGGCACCACCATAGGACTGGCAGGAGGTTTCATCAGTGGAGGCCCAGGCATCATTGGCATGTGGCCTCCAATGGGTGGCCTATTTCCAGGAGCAGGTCCCACTGGCATCATGCCAGGAGGAGGAGGGCCCATCATTGGCATCATGGGAGGGCCCCCCATATGGGGTGCTGGCATCATACCAGGGTGAGGAGAACCCAGAAGACTAGGTGGAGGTGGGATCATCGCCCCTGCAGGAGGTGGAGCAGAGAATGGAGTAGGAGGTATCTTTTCTTGTTGAAATGCAGCAGTTGTTTTGACAATGAGGCTCTGAGTCTGCTCTTCCATCCATTTCTGATAGTAGTCTTTCACATTCTCTTTGTGTTTCCTGCCACTGCAGTGTGTCTTTCTCACAGATGGAGAGTCATGGGTGAGGTATGTATTGCAGCAGTCACAATAAAGCTTAGGCATGTTGCTGTGCTGGCCGATGACCACTCCGCTCCACCCGTCGTATCTTTTTCTAGGCCTTTAATTGAAACCTTTCTAGGTCATTTTGTTTTAGGTACGTCTCTCTCTTTTTTTTTTTTTGAGTTGGAGTCTCACTCTGTCACCCAGACTGGAGTGCAGTGGCCGCTCCCGGCCACCACAGCCTCGACCTGCTGGGCTCCGGCGATCCTTCCGCCTCAGCCTTCCAAGTAGCCGGAATTACAGGCATGCGCTACTACGCCCGGCTGATTTTTTTATTTATTGTAGAGATGAGGTCTCGCTGCCCAGGAGGGTCTCAAACCCGCGGGCACAGGCAATCCACTCACAGGTACGTCTCTTATAAGAGATTTTGTTTCTCTACCAACCTTACAGTCTCTGTATGTTCATGAGTGACTTTTTAGTGTGTCAGATTAATTTCTAATATCTTATTTTATCTTTCCCAGGAACCATTCTTTGTCTTTTTCCCTTCTTTTCTTGCTTTCTATTGTGCTAGCAAAGTTTTTAAGTTAAGCTGGGCTTGGTGGCTCAGCCTGTAACCCCGCTCCTTTGGGAGGCTGAGGTGAATGGATTGCCTGAGCCTGCGGGTTTGAGACCCGCCTGGGCAACTTGGCAAGACCTCATTTCTACAATAAATCAAAAATGAGCCGGGCGTGGTAGCGCGCGCCTGTAGTTCCAGCTACTTGGAAGGCAGTGGTGGAAGGATCGCCAGAGCCCAGCAGGTTGAGGCTGCGGTGGCCAGGAGCGGCCACTGCACTCCAGTCTGGGCGACAGAGTGAGACTCCAACTCAAAATAAATAAATAAATAAATAATAAAATAAAATAAAAACCTTTTAAGCTGGGCTCGGTGGCTCAGCCTGTAATCCCGTGCCTTGGAAGGCTGAGGTGAGTGGATTGCTTGAGCCCGTGGGTTCGAGACCTGCCTGGGTAACTTGGTGAGACCTCATCTCTACAATAAATCAAAAAATTAGCCGGGCATGGTAGCGCGCGTCTGCAATTTCAGCTACTTGGAAGGCCAAGGCGGAAGGATCGCTGGAGCCCAGCAGGTCGAGGCTGCGGTGGCCAGGAGCGGCCACTGCACTCCAGTCTGGGCAACAGAGTGAGACTCCAACTCAAAAAAAAAAAACTTTTAAAAATGTGTAAAATATATATAATTATCATTTTAAACATTTATAAATGTACAATTCAGTGGCATTATGTATGGTCACAATGCTGTGTAACCATCAATACTATCTATATATCCAAAATTTTTGCATCATTCCCAACAAAAACCCTATAATCATTAAACAATAACACACCTTTTTGTCTTCTTCCCAGGCCCTGGTAACCTCTATTCTACTTTCTGCCTCTATAAATTTGTCTATTCTAAGTACCTCATATAAATGGAATCATATAATATCCATCTTTCAGGCTTCTTACACTAAGAATAATGTTTTCAAGGTTCACAAATGTCATAGCATATATCAAAATTTCTTTTTCTTCTTTTTTTTGAGTTGGAGACTCTGTCACTCAGGCTTGAACACAGTGGCACAATCACAACCACCTCAGCCTCAACCTGCTGGGCTCAGACCATCCTTCTGCCTCAGCCTTCCAAGTAGCTGGGACTACAAGTGTGCGTTACCCCACCCAGCTCATTTTTTCATGCATTGTAGAGACGAGGTCTTGCGATGTTGCCCATGCTGGTCTCGAACACCTTGGCTCAGGCAATCCTCTTGCTTTAGTCTCCCAAAGTGCTGGGATTATAGGCACGAGCCACTATGCCTGGCCAAAATTTATTTTCTTTTTAAAGATGAATAATAGTCCATCTATGTCTATACCACATTTATGGACACTTGGGTTACTTCCATATTTTGGCTATTGTGAATAATGCTATGATTGGTGTACAAGTATCTGTTTCAGTACCTGCTTTCAATTCTTTTTAGATATATACCTAGGAGTACAATTGCTGGATCATATGGTAGTTCTATGTTTAACCTTTGAGAAACCACTAAACTGTTTTCTAGAGTAGCTGCACTGTTTTATAACCCTCAAAGGTACATGAGGGTTCCAATTTCTCTGTATCCTCACTGCACATGTTATTTTCCTTTTTTAAAAAGTAGCAAATCTAGAAGGTATGAGGTGGTATCATGTTGTTTTAATTTGCATTTCCAGATGACTAAGTCCTTTGCCCATTTTTGTGTTGTTTGTTTTATTGTTGTTGAATTGTAGGAGTTCTTTATATATTCTGGATATTCCTTATCAGATGTAGGATTTGCAAATATTTTCTTCTATTTCTGACTTTTCACTTTCATGATAGTACTCTTTAATGCACAGAAGTTCTTAATTTTGATGAAGTCTAATTTATTTCTATTTTTTGTTCCTTGTTCTTTTGATGTCATATCCATGAAATCATTGCCAAATCCAATGTCATGAAGATTTCTCCCTATGTTTTCTTCTAAGAGTTTTATAGTTTCAGCTTTTAAGTTTAGGTCTTTGATCCACTTCGAGTTAATTTTTTTATAAGGTGTCAGGTCAGGATCCAATTTCATTCTCTGGCACGTGGCTATCCCATTTTCCCAGCATTATTTGTTGAAAAGACTGTCCTTTCCCAATTGAATCATACCCTCACAGGAAATCAATTGACCATACATGTGAGGATTTACTTCTAGGGTCCCTAATCTATTCCAGTGGTCTATATGCTTGTCCTTAGACCAGGAGCATACTGCTCTAATTACTGTGGCTTTACTGCAAGTTTTGTGGTTGGGAAGTTTGACTTCTTCAACTCTGTATTCTTCTTTTTCAAGATTATCCTGGCTATTCAGGGCCCATGCAATTCCATATGAATCTGATCATTTGTTTCTCCACATCTGTAAAAAAGGCTATTGGAATTTTGATAGGAATTGTGTTGAATCCGTAGATTGCTTTAGGCAGTACCGAATCTTAAAAGTGTTACATCATTCTATCCATGTACACGGGATGTCCTTCCATTTATTTGGAGCTTCTTTAATTTCATCTAGCAGTGTTTTGAAGTTTTTCATATGCAAGTCTATCACCTCTTCAAGTTAGATTTATTCCTAAGTACTTAACTCTTTTGGATGCTCCTTTAAATTGAATTGCTTTCTTAATTTCCTTTCAGATTGTTCATGGCTGACATATAGAAACAACTAATTTCTGTGTGTTGATCTTGTACCCTGCAACTTTACTAAATTCATTTATTAGCTCCAAAAGGTTTGCAGTGGATTCTTTGGGATTTTCTATACATAAGATCATGTCACTTGTGGATATAGTTTTACTTTTTACTTTCCAGTTTGGATGTCTTATATTTCTTTCGACATTTTTTTCTTTTTTAAAATTAACTTCCATAGCTACAAGACAATATACCTTTTTCCTTTTCCTTTTAATTGATTATTGTTATTTTTCAGAGACAAGGTCTCACTGTGTCACTCAGTCTGGAGTATAGGGACTTGATCATAGCTCTCTGTAGTCTTGAACTCCTGGCCTCAAGCAATCTTTCCACCTCAGTTTCTCAAGTAGCTGGTACTACAGGCATGCAAGACCACACCCAACTAGTCTTTTCTTTTCTGTTTGTTTGTTTGTGTCTGGGTCCCACTCTGAGTGAGATCATGCAGCAGCATGATCATGATGGTTACAGCTGGCCAGAATCTTGACCTCCTGGGTTCAGGTGATTCTTTCACTTCAGCATCCTGAATAGCTGGGACTACAGGCATGTGCCACCACACCCAGCTAATTTTTTTATTTTTTGTAGAGATGAGGTTTTGCTATGTTGCCCAGGCTGGTCTTGAACTCAGGCAATCCACCTATCTTGACCTCCCACAGTACTGGGATTACAGGCGTGAGCCACCACACCTGACCATCTTTTCTTTTTTTGTAGAGACATGGTCTCACTATGTTGCTCAGGCTGGACCTTTCTAAATGTAAAGATTACTTACTACTTAAAAAAATCAATAGTTAATTAAGTTTACCAATATACCAAATTGATATTCATGCTCGCTACTGTTTCTTGCATTGTGCTCCTTTCCTTTTGGTTCAATTACTTTCTTGCTAAAGTACATTCTATAAGAAAAGTCCACAGTCACTTATCTGAAATCCTTGGGACCTCTCTCCTTAGAAATTTACATTTTTTTTTTTTTTTTTTTGAGTTGGAGTCTCACTCTGTCACCCAGACTGGAGTGCAGTGGCCGCTCCCAGCCACCGCAGCCTCGACCTGCTGGGCTCCGGCGATCCTTCTGCCTCAGCCTTCCGAGTAGCCGGAATTACAGGCGCGCGCTACCACTCCCGGCTGATTTTTTTAATTTATTGTAGAGATGAGGTCTCGCTGCCCAGGCGGGTCTCGAACCCGCGGGCTCAGGCAATCCACTCACCTCAGTCTCCCAAAGGCACAGGATTACAGGCTGAGCCACCAAGCCCAGTTGGAATTTACAATTTTTAAAAAATTTTATAAAGGCAATATATTGCACAATTCAGATGGAATATGATATCTCAAGCAGGGCTGAGATAGCACCCCATGGAGCCAGAGTATTACAATTTCCACAGTGAAATGTATAAATATCCACAGTAAGCAGGATAAAGACAAAAATAGTCTCATAAACTAGTTCAGGTCAAGTTTGCCCCTAAATGAGTTCGCTGAAAACTTACCAAAGGACAACTTTAGATTTTCAAAGTTTTTTTTGAATTCTGAATTGTGAATTTCTTAATAGTCATAAACCTGTAGTTATTGCACAAAAGCCTGTGAGTGACAAATGCTCTGTTTTCACCTGCCTTTATTTTACTTCTGGAGCGAAGTTTACCTTGGTGGAGAATTCTGGGTTGCCACTAATCTTCCCTTGGCACTTTAAAGATGCCACTCCCTTGCGATCTCACAGCTATCACTAATACCAAGAAGACTGTTGTCAAACTCCCATTATTCCTCTGGAGTTAAGCATTCTTATCATTTGTATAAGCAATTTTCTTCATTATTAAAGCAGATTCTAAATGTGTCTACCACGTAGGTGTGTTTT